TGTGTGTGTGTGTGTTTGTGTGTGTGCGGGCGCGTGCGTGCGGCATGTGTGTAAGTGCGTGCGTGTGTGTGCACGCTCACAGACGTGTGAGTGCGTGTTTGAGGATGTGTAGCATGAGCGTCGCACGCCCGCGAGTTGCGACCCTTTCAAGTGCTGCTTACAAGAACGAACCGCACCCTCCTGATGATGTCGAAGCAGAACCCTTGGCCACCATCCCTTACACACGCCCTCCTGCTCTGGACCGCACGGCTCGTTATTGCGCCGTCCCGCGCAGGGCTCCATGGTCGGCATGCCGTCGTTTCCAATGGGCCGGGTGCCCGATTACTACGGTCAGGACGCGGCAGAGTTCGTGCCGGAGCGCTGGCTCAAGGGCGCCGGCGGCAATGAGGGCAAGCAGGCGGCCGAGGGCGGGGGCCTGGCGGATGTGTTTGCTTTTGGTGAGCCGCGCGGGATGACTTACTGGGAAGATCGTTCCCGCACGGCCGATGGCTGAGTGGGGGCCGAAGCGGCGCCGGCAAGCGCTGGGTGCCTGCAATGTGGCAGTTGACAGCAAGGGCTTCTAGACCCCAACCCACTCTGAGATGAACGTGGCGACCCGGCACACCCTTGGATGCCCCAACAGGCATCGGCCCGCGCGACTGCATCGGCCGCGCCCTGGCGATGCTGGAGCTCCAGGTCGTGCTGGCCACGCTGGTGGGGTGCTTCGCTTTCGCGCTGCCGCCGGGCGTGAAGGGCGAGGGCGTGGCGGCCCTGGAGGCGATGGTGTGCTACCACATCACACTGCACCCTAGGGACGGCCTGAAGCTGTGCGCGACGCCGAGGGCCCCACTGACGGCCTGAGCGCCACAACATTGCAATGTGTGTTGTGTGTCGTCGCTGAGGCAAGCTGGTCGTTGCTGGCAATCCCTCCTCCCCTCCTCAGCACCTGCGTGTGCTCTTCATGTGCTTTTCTCAGCGGGTACGAGGGTGCACTTAGTCATGGCAGCTTTCAATTTTTGGTACCAAGTTGACCACAGGGAAAGACAAACTTTGCTGCCAGGTTTGGCGGGCTCTCAGAGCCCACAATTGTCATGAGAAGACATTGAAGGCAAAGGGGGATATTGTGTGGGCGATTCCACCCAAGTTCATGCAAGGAGCACTTCTGACGGCTTGCAGCAGCGCACAGCATTGCCCAACCTCTCGTGGATTTTCATCATTTTTCTCACAGCTGGCAAAGGGTCGTGGATGCATACTCAGATTGATTGGTGGCTGCTGATGCACGGGGTGGGAATGGGGAAATGCTTGCGGCAGGTGGAGGGGG